CTTCAACTCGTCCGTAGCCGAGCGACGACGTCGAGGGCTTTGAATTGTTAATTCTGATTACCTTCGCGCCCCGGCGTACTTTGCTTCTGCCACTTATTTAATGTACCGCCATTTGTGCCGGAGTTGAATCACGCCTCGGGATTCTAGGACTTGTTACCGCTGCTTCCGGGGACACCCAAATGTTCTCCGTTACGAGTCATCACGCGCGGCGAGACCTTCGCGAGTGATCGTTTGGAGAAACTTACGTGTTCAGAGAAAAACGCGTTTCAGATTAGTTGCACGGCAGATGTGCGGTGCGACATTTAGCGAGAGGGGACCAATTGAGTAATGCGGGAATTATAGGTGAAGATTAATCCTTTGCACTGGTGAAGCGTCGGACGTTACTTGATTTAATGAAATCGTTTAACGTTTGATATTGAGCTTTGTGTAATGTTTGAATATGCAGAATATTGAAATAAAATAGGTTCGCTGTTTACATGTGATTTCTCGTGGAGGTAATTTGAAAGGATACGGTTCATATCTCATAGAATGAAAAGGAAATGTATGGTTTCCTCGTTGTAGATTGTTGAATTTATCAGTAGAGTATAATTGGTGTAGTGTAAAGGTATTTATCAGCTAACTGTACGAGGGACAAGAATGAGAAATACCGTGAGATCTTGTGTTTTCATTTATATCTGTGGCATTACTAGAATCACAGGTTCAGAAATGATTGTCGCATTATACGAGAATAACGTGCATCGATGGCGGCGTATATCATACTGATCGATCATGACGTAAAAGATTGTACACAGCTTGTAATAAAAAGCGGAGTCGAGTCGAATGCTACAATATATAGGCCTCGCTAATGTAACGTCGGAGTCGACCTAATCAGCGATACTGACGCTGCAACGTTGCAGTGATATTGCTGGAGGCAGATAGTAGATCGTGCTGACTGGGTTATTATAATTGCAGAACGATAGAGGATGGCAGAAGGATGCCGTTGCAAGAACGCTCATTAAACTAGTTCATTACACCTGCTTGTACTAATGGGTCTCACTTACGAGAACCCAAGATAATTAAATAATTTAACGAATGTCACTCTCTTTGAATCACCATTAACAGAGGGTATCGGGGGCCGAATGTATAAAATTGTATAATACCGCGGAAATGCGAAAGGGAATTGTGCCTGGCGAGCCTCCTTCGACCATTCTTCGTCACGCAAATATAAAATATTATTTTTAACGAAGATTAATAGCGCACGATTATTATTCTCGTTAAATCCGCACGAGTTACCCGGGACGTTTATGTGTCCACGATTTGAGACTTTAGTAGCGCTCGAATAAAATCGGAAACTGCCGGGTTACGGATTTCTTGTTACAATCATGATCACCTTCAATCTTTTCGAAATGCGACAGGAACAAGTTCTTTTTCGAAATTAAACGATGCACGGGATGAACTGTTTTTGTAGGGAATAATAACTTGCAATACATTGACAAAGAAAAATTGTTCTGATTGAGAACTACTGAATTATGACTAACTTGTTAATTACTATACTTATAAGTACCGTTATAAGTATTGTAGTAAGTAGTTATAATATTTATAACTGCTATATGAATTAAGTATACTAACCTATAGCTATACTATACTAAAAATACTAACTTATAACTACTAATGTAACTAGTATAGTTATAATACTTATAAGTAATAGTAATATAACTAATAGTCATAATACTTATAAGTAATAGTAATATAACTAATAGTCATAATACTTATAAGTAATAGTAATATAACTAATAGTTATAATACTTATAAGTAATAGTAATGTAACTAATAGTTATAATACTCATAACAATATCAACCGATACTAGTACCACATTGGAAGTACGAAATTGTACTTCTAATGCTTCGAAACGAAGTATAACATCATAAATTAAAATTTCCCTTTTCTAATTTGTACTGTGTACGCCATAAACATCCAACATATGAACAGTTTTTTTCCATGTAACCCTCGCGTGTTATTGAAGGCCAACACAGCGAAGCATTCCCCATGAATGTTCTCAGGGTTTAGACAAAATCGAATGGAAGAGCTGCGGATATCGAGGGAAAATCAACGACTTAGTCTCGCGGCCAGTTTTATCGAGATATGGAGCAATAAATTCTTGTCTTGAGATTGAATGTAGCGAAACAGAAACGGATAACTCGATCTATCTTGCTGCTGGCACACAGTTACAATTATGATGATCGGAAGATACTGGGAGCGGATCAATAACATGCACGACGAAACAATTAATTGTAACTGATCGGTTCGACGTGGTTGCCTGGGAATCGTTGTAAATCGTTTACACTTGTTTCAGCCGCGGTATACGATCTGTTCCAGAATTATAGGACGTAAGACGCTGTTACTTGTAATCCAATAATTTATTATATCCTGTAAACGCATTTCACGTGTGCCAACGTATACACGCATATATTATGCATTAAAAAATTTACAAGTATCCCTTTAAAAACCTCTCTATTTAACCATTTCTTCTTAGTTGGCAGTAGATTTATGGAACCCGTCAATTTGACGGATATTGGATCCGATAAATATTATTAGCTTTAAAGATCGTTAATTGTAATTTAAGAATGAAATCCAAAGGGAAGATTAATAAAATAAAACATCGATGCAATTTGTAATTGAGACGATTAATTACGAATATATTAACACTGATCTATCGTAACCGGTTAAATAACTTGGTACAAAGTAAAGGTAAACAAGTTCGGTGAGAAATTTTTCTTAGTGGAGATCGAAACGGAAGGAAGGACAAAATCAGAAAAATGTTTCAACGGCTAATTAATCAATAAATGATTAATCGAGCAACGTAGGAATTGATTTAAACTTAAACGAAAGGAAGGAAACGCGGCATTTTAAATATATTTTTAAAACCGGTCGACTGGCCGGTTCCTGGTACGAGTAACGTTAAAGATATCAAATGAGCTGTAATTATAAATGAAAGATCACGTTTTTTGTGTTCAAAGAATATCATGTCTGTTAATTTCCTGCATAGATTGAGAGCTTGTCGAAACTAGTTTCGATATCTGGCAAGCCAAGATACCGATACACGGATGCGCGAATTCGATTTCCCGAAAGTTGATTTAGTAGGTCGGTACCGTGACACGCGATTCCAAGTGACAGTTAGAAATTATAGTCGAGTAATAAAAACGCGGTACCGATTCACACGTAGGCGAACATAGACGCAGCTCCCGGTGTGCCGTAGTCTGGACGAAACGCAAGTGCCATATAACTTTTAACTGCTTCCGAGGAACATGTTTAATTTTCAGTCTACGGGCCACACCTTGCCTGATAAGAATCGTTCTTTCAACAATCATATCGGCTGGTATCAGTCGGCGATGTCAGTCCTGGTGAAATGCAACTAGATCATAACGGGACTGCCTGCGAAACATCCGATCCGAGGCAGATAAATGTCCTGCAACAACGCCACGTCACACTGGATTTATGGGGACTGATAACTATTATGTCGCAATACGTTTAGACGGATTTGCTTCAACATCGTGTAAATCAATTTCGAGAGAGGTTTCGCGCGAGTATACTATTATTACGTTTCCCAACGGGTAATCAACTTTGTATAATAATAATAACGGCGATGCTAAGA